GCGCACACGTTTGCGCTGCGTAAGCAAAGAGAACATGTAGATCAGGTAGCGCGATGTTCGTGCAATCATATCATTCGGATAGCGCAAGCAGGTGTTCTATCCAAACAGTACAAACGTCTAGGTAGCATAAACGCGTCGGTCGCACGCGTGGGCGTGTACGACGTATCAATTCCCGTAAGCGAAGGAGGCACGTTGTTTGAAATAATTGGGGGATCGCCTGACTGTTACGAGAAAGCTACTCGAGAGTTACAAATTAAAAGTTGTTGCTTTAAGTCGGTAAAAATGCTATTTTAAATACACGGTATTCATTGCATCCGTAATGTATGGTTCGTTGCTCTTTTAATCGACCAAGTAGATAACACGCGACTTGCACTACGAAAGAACGAACAACTTTCAACAATTTATATTTGATCGAATCGATCGAGATGAGATTTTTTAATTAAATTCAAATAACGCTATCGTTGACTTTTATTTGTTTGAATTGTAAAGGGAAATTCGTTCCATAAGTTTTGTTTTCCAAATACAGATAATAGTCGAATAGTCAGATTAGTAGAAAAAGTGTAAAATAATTCAATAATATTCTGAATCATTTTTTGCTTTATGTATAATTTATACATAATAATACATATCTAATTATTGAAATAAACGTGTTTGCTAGAGTTTCCAAAGCAACACTGATATTTATAGTCTTACAAACAATTTTATCAATTGCAACGTATCGACCCATTGTCCTAGGGTCCACTTCGGGATTAATCTGTATAAAGTGAAAATATATCCAGTTACGGTACAAATAGGGTACTATATCATTTGAATTCTAATTACGGATCATAGGTACATAATGGTGGCGCCCCCATTATTCGAATAAATTTCACCTTTTTCGCAATGTCTATCTTACTTTGGCTTATTTCTTCGTTAAAAATCGCTTATACTATTTTTTCAATGTACGCATGAAAGAAAAAGAATTCCACTTAAATTTCGTCGTGTTATCAATGAAACGTGTTTCCACGCTTCCATTTTTGGAGTCTTCGGACATTCCCCACGGAGACATGCTGGTACGATGCTCGTAAGTCGACGAAGCATATCCAATGTCGAGCATAAATATTCGCACGGAACAGTTGTCCAAACGAAACTAGTTACAGATGTGATAGAAATCATTGCAAACATTTGATTTCCATCCGAATACAATTTTCCTAAACCTCGGCATATTTAATAGATTCTGAAGTTTAGAATGTATTAGAGTATTCTAAAACATATTGCACATCTGGAATCTTAATTCTAGTTTTCATTTTTAATTCATGCAGCAGTTTCTTAACCAAGTTAGAAGAAGAAATTTTATTATATGAAATGTAAAAATGATTCGTTGAGTAAGTTTGTTCCACAAACTCGTTCAAATGACATTTATTAACTGACTGCTGCAACAAAATCTATCTTCAAGCATGATTTATGGATCTTCTTCTATCGTTCTGAGAAAGCAATTGCATTCCTCTGCAAGACCATGCTGGTTCTTCGGATGCAAAAAACTGCGCACATCCACGTCTGATGACGTCATTATTGTTGAATCATCACCTACTCGAAAGGCGTGCAAATTGCCCAGAAAAGGTGATCCGAAGTCTGGACTGGGTGAATCGTGCGGTGTTTGACAAGAAAATTTTAGTTTCGAAATCAAATATTTGCAACGATTTTGTTCCTATCTCCAACTGATTTTATCTCGACGATCGACCTCGTATAAAAATATGCATTCGACGCTGTGCGTGAAAGGGAACAAAGAATTTATCAGAGACAAAATAAAAATGGAGGGAGATCCCTTTTCCGCGGTTTTCCGGTTTGCTGTTATCGGCGCGAGGTGCACACGGAACCAGGGAACGGGAACACGGGAATAGGGACCGGGAAACAACTTCCTCTACTTCCTGCTGCGATTCTGTTTCACGCGCGCTTCCGGCCGTCCCCCCCGCGCGCTTCTGTTTCTACGTCGAGCGAGAGTGAAAAAAAAATGGAAAATACGCGGTTTTCGAGTATATTACGTGAAAGTATCGAGCGACGACGAAGAAGAAGGAAAACAAAAAAAAAATATAAAAAGCAGAAACAGTCACACAAGACGAGAAAGAGAAAAGAGAGAGAGAGAGAGAAAGAAAGAACGGATGTTTCGATTCGCAAGAGCGCAATAAAAGCGAAGGATGAATATGAGACGTTCTCTTACGAGTGGAAAGAGTTTATAAGCGGATGGATTGATTTTACGACGAGCGACCTACGATGTACATGTGCGATATATTAGTCTAATTGTAAGAGCCAGTGACGATTCTACTTACGTCATTTCGAAATGAAAATAAACCCTTTTTTTTTTATGGAAGTATAACCGACGACCACGAAGCAGCCACTCGTTAGAATAACGTCGTATGTTTAGAAGATACGAAACAAAAATAAAATTACGTCTACGATTGATTTTGAAAAAATCATAGAACAAATTGGATAATTTGTTAAAGTCTAAATATATTTCTTTGTCTAAGAAAAATCAATGAAAAATCAATGCGCGTTAAAATCCAAACGAACTTCTTAGCCAATCTAAAAGTATACATTCAACTTACGCTATGTATATTTTACGTACGTTTTCTAGTTATCACAATTTCGTCGAAAAAGTGTTACCTTCGGTTAAAAGTGACGCGATTAAAATCGTCACCGGCTCTCCGACTATATTACGTTTTCTTTTATTTTCGATGACGACTGCTGCTTGACGATTTATCGATACGACGACTATATGGCGACTATATGCGAGAGCGTAGACGGTGTATGTATAAAATGTATTTTAAGCGTGGACAAGAAAAAAGAAAAAACAAATCAATTTACACTTACAGTTTGCTGTAAACGAGAGTAACAATACTGACGTGGGTTGTGCACGAGGAAATGAAACGTACACAAACGTACGTTCGGTGGGGCGGGCCATGGGCCAATGGAGAATCGGATCGAGCCGCGATCGCGTTTAACCGCGTGGAAAACGAATTTTTCATCCCACGCCTTGTTCTTTTTCCTCCCGTTTTTCATCGTCCTCTGCGTGCACGCGGTTTATCCCGTTGTGTCGCCGCCGATCGATCGAATTCCGTCGTTTTTGCACCTTTAACGAAGGCTTTTTAACGAAACACCCAACTCTGCTTTCGAAAATTGTTTCACGCTTTTGTTCGTACTTTACCGATCGGTAACCTGTTAACCCTTTAGCTTACGACGATGCGCGAGACACGCGATAAAGGAATTCGATTCGAACATGAAAAGGGATTTTATACTTAACTACGACACGCGCGGTCCCAGAGAAAATCGTAGGTCAAGGGGTTAATCTGCTTCTTTTGCCGAGACAGCCAATAATTTGTTATCTATTATTGGGATAACGTTTAAACCTTTTTGACAATAAGCATTGTACCTTCGAAGAATACCAATTTGACGAATTTGTTAAAGTTTAGGAAAGGGCTTATAAAAAACAAAATGGGGCTCGGGAGCTTCGTACTTTAACATACCAAAATGAGTAAGAGCATCTGTTTAAACAAGAATGATAAATTATTGAATATAAGGACACGAAATGAATTTTTACATCCAATACATAGACGGGAAGTGTCATGATTTTTATTTTAAACATTAGAAAAGAAACGACGACATTTCCCATTACATTTACTACGACCTTCGATTCGATATAGAATATTTATCTGGAATTATCAATTTGGAAAATATTAATTAGACACTAGAATCTAACACTGCATCCATTGAAAAAAAGAGTGATACAAAAGAACGCTTCAATTTGATACTTCGTTAAAAAATGGTCAAAGATATTCCAAATAATGTGAAAAATCCCAGAAGGTGAGAATACGGGTTCCCTTGCAAATGAAAAAAAAAGAAGAAAAAAAAGAAAAAAAAGAAAGTGCACGCAGAGAGAAGTGGAAGAAAAAGAATCCACAGGCGAACGAATAGGCGTAAGAAAACGAAACAAGGAGTGCCAAATCATCCGTGACTTCCGTCCCACTTGGGCAATAACGAGTACACAAACATGGCGAGAGTGCGAACGTTGCCACATGTCCTCCAATAATCGTAAGAATTCTTAATCTGTCCTCTGCGTCGATTCTTTTTCGTGTACCGTGGACGAGGAACGAACGTTGGTTGCGAAAATGCTCACGCATCCATTACTTTTTTCGCCAAGGTTCGTTGCTCGTCGCGTGCAGCGACAAAACGTACGAAACGAACAAATAATTCAGCAGCCATCCAAAGGAAGAGAATAAGTCGCGAGCATATTCGAGCGACGCTTCACGATAAACCGGTGCTGTTCACGGGCCGACACAGGCAAAATTCTTATTTAGATATAAATTGTGAATAACGAATAAAAGTTACGTAATTATCTATCGGTTGCTCGTCGAATAAACATTATTATTTCGATCATAGAGTGAAATGTTTCGCGATAAATAAATTGAACCATTCGATAGGATAAACGTCGATCGATATTTATTCGTTATGTATTACTCGAATAAACTTTTGCTCATCTTTGATCACGGGTGGATCCCCTTGCGCAGCTTTATTCCCCCCTGTACGTGATGTATTGTGTTTGTGTGTATGTGTATGTGTGTTTGCGTGTGCGTGTGCACGCATAACGTAACGCGACGATTAACTTAGCGTTCATGTATATAATAATGGGAAACAGAATGAGAGAAGCTTCGTAAGTTTATCGTGAACAGCGCTGCAATAAACGATCGTCCCTCGAGCGATCGATGTAAATAATGATCTATTCGGATCAAATAATTTCGACACTCGCAATCAGTGCCTGTCGTTTCGTCGACGAGAACGCGTTACCAACGAACGAGATACAAAAAAAAAAAATTAGATACGAACGATCCACAGTCCTTGCCAACGGACGAACCGATTAAATAAATGAAAACGAACTCGCATCCGATTCTCCATATTGTGGACGCTTTCACAAAAAACACGACAAATCGGCCGCGATTACAGTTCTGACGGCGATTTATTAAAAAAAAAAAAAAAAAGAAATAAAAAAAAGAATAATATTTATTCCAACGACTTGCCAGTTTCGTTGCACGGTACATTACGAAGTAAGTTCGAGAGAGAATGAAAATCATACGCGAAAAGAAAGAAAGCAAATCGATAATACGAAAAGAGATCTATAGATTTACGGATTGATGGATGAGTTGCATAGCTGTTTGAGAAGTTTCACGAAATATCGATGTATATATTTTAAGTTTGTATTATAATGCCCCCACTTAATTTGTATGAAATGAAGAATTTCAAACATTAAAATGATGACAAAAACCTCGGTCTGTTGCCATTTATCCGCCTCTACACTTTTTACAATATTCTGTATATGTCATAATCCACTAATCTACTTACATAAGTAATAGTGATCGATGAAGAAGCATCGCCAACACATACGTGCACATGGCTAAGCTTACGAAGGTCTTATTGTTTAAATTTCCCCTGGATGTGGTTTAGAAGTATCGCGGTATCAAGTATTCAGATTAACTTATATGCACTGTATTTTCTCGAAACAGAGACAAGGTCTTCGATCGCATAAACAAATTTTAATTGAATGATTAAGACTGTTGCGATAAACATACGGAACACTCGTCAGGTCGAGCGACCAGCCGTTGGGGATTTAAATATCGAGTTTCTCTGAGAGTATTCTTTTGTAATCATGTTGGAAGAAATAGATTTTTTCGTTGAACAACTTTTCGACTCGTCCGATTCAGACGTAATTCGTGTATAAGTAGACTGCGGACTTTTATGCATTTATAGAAAATATGAAGCTACAAAATGCACACACTATGCAAGAATATAAAAAAAAAAACATTGAAAGTAAAATTCATGTAATAAGTAATACGAATACTGCCGTATTTCATTTCATTTTAATCAAGAAAATCTCGTCAATCTAAATCTCAGGAAGTTAGAATGAGATATATGAATGTTTTTAGTTTGGATATTACAAATCTGCCGTCTAACTCCGTATCCCTCATTTTGAGCAAGTCTAAAATTCAACATTTAATTAAAAGAATACTTCGTTAAGACGTGTAATTGGTATTCCTGGTTTAAAAAGATTTTTAAATTATTTATTAGCCTGTTATTCGCTGTTCAACAGCTAGTTACCTCTGTCACCGCCTTTTCGGGCTATATGTAAAGATGTGCTCATTTTTTGAAGATCGTTGACCCATTTTTTTTACACAAGTCGCCTCTGCAACGATAATATTCAAAGGGGAGACGTCGAGTATTGGGAAGAGAGGTGGACGTCTGGTCTTGTTTTTTTTTCTGTTCTTTCAACACTGCAACTGCACATCTGACGACGGGTGGAGGACTATGCGCAGTGCAGTATCACATGTCGATGTCGCTGCGCATGCACCTACCGGTTCGAAAGACATGGCAGGTGTTGCGGTTGCCTCTTATTGTTGACTATCTTTGATAAATAAACGGTTACTTGGGAGCCCCTCGAAGGACAATGATAACGGGTACATTACATAATAATTCGTGAAAATTTCTTTTGAATAACCTCACTTCGAAGCCCACTGTAAAAATGTCGAGTACGCAAGAAGCAGAGGTAAGAATTTGTAAATTTTCAGCCTGGTTTTGAATATGTTTTATATTTTAAACAATGTCAACGTTATTTTCCCAATACTACACAGATTATTCGAGAATTGAAACACAAATCAACTTAGAACTCCAATGCATGTTCTATCGGTTAATTGATACTTTGCATGCTGAGCTTGAAATTATAGAATGTAAAACGAAAAATATAGTATTTTTTTCTTCTTACATTAGTATGGTTTCATTGAAGGTTCAAAGCCTCAAGGAAAGGGGAAATGCATGCGTGAAAGGACAGAAATACGAAGAGGCTATGTTTCATTACACGCATGCGATCAAAATTGATCCACAAAATTATTCTTTGTATAGTAATCGATCGTTTACCTTTCTAAAATTGCAACAATACCATTTGGCAATGGAAGACGCTTTAATGACAATTCAATTGAAACCTGACTGGACCAAGGTAGATACATACTTTTGCCAATGTTCAATGTGTAGACGCAAACCTGAAGTAATGTCTGCGATGTGTAAATGCACAGTGTATGCAATGTTTCATGGAGATCAATTTTGTCACAGGGTTATTTTAGGAAAGGTGAAATAGAATCCCAAACATTTCGCTTTAGCGAAGCACTTCAATCTTACAACAAAGCATTATCTCTTCAACCAAACGAACCAACTATTTTAGAAGCAATGAACAGAGTATCCAGAATGTTGATTAAAGATAAACGAGGTATTATCTGTGTAGAGTTGAAACAAGTCTATTGAAAATGTTTACTGTTGTAACTTTGATATATTATTTTATAGCTGATCAACAAATACCTTGGCTTGGAGCTGGTGTTGGTATTATACTTGGAGTAATAGTTGTAATTGCTGATTACGTCTTTACAAATAAACCTACATTAACGGTAGATATACTACATTGATATTTGCAAAAATTGAAAATTATATCTTTTCTACAACAATTGTTTTTTTTTTTTTTATCGAATATAGCATCCCCTTTTGATGGCCTTGTTAACAATGTCTATAGCAATGCTAGGTTTTGGTATTGCAAAAGGATTTCGCTATTTTGTAAAGTGTCAAAGAAAATCACTTTTGGATCCACCTGTAGATCTGTTTGGTGAAACTAAAGAAGAACTTGATGATGTTGATGCTGAAATGAGTAGTGAAAAGGAGAAACATCCAAAGTACAGTAAAGCGCAAGCGCGACAAAGATTCAAGAAAGGAAAATCATAGTGTGTTTTGATACTAATTATATATATATGCATTTCTATGTAAATTTAAAATTTAAAATTCATACACTTTTTAACATCTCAGGAAAACTGAATGTCTACGACCAGTTATTACATTGGCAGAAGAATATATACACACTGTTTACACTTTATACCTAAGTTATTGTTAAATAATATTAAAATATTGAGAATGCGTGACAGACTTTCCGCGCTTCTTTATATTTTATGTTGAAAAATTCATATGGCAAACCAAACATGCTAGTTAATAATTAAGTCAATCTATTCCAAATACAACTATATTTCAAACTGTTTGAGATATATCATAGGAGATAAGGCTGCAATGAAAATATAATTGTCAGTTATTTAGTACAAATATTTCTAAAATCCAAATTGGAAGAAAAAAAAAATCTGCTTATTATATGAATTGCAACCATATTTAATGATATACAATGGCAACAAATTTGACGTTAACATTTTTACATCCATATATATATACTGTAGGATTGAATAATACGAAGATTATTCTATATCATATACAACGAATTATCTTGTTCTTAAATTCGAAAATTCTGCACTTACGAAACATAATAAACACAAACAAACGAACTAATCATAATTAAATATTCGAGAGTTGTTTAACCCCCTACTTAACACTTTAACTGTTGGGAAAAAATTATGTTTGTTACGCGGGCTTAATGTCCGTCAATAAAACGCATGTAACAGTCGAAGTGTTAAACATTATACTAAACAACGACACAACGGAATATACGATTACATATAGGATGAAGTATGTTATTTGAATTTTAAAACTAATATACTAGATACATCACCCCTCTGCTAAAATATGAATAATCACGAATATAGAATCAAGAATTTCAAATTTTTTCATATACACTTTGTTTACTGAGCTGTATTGATCTTTCCTCGCTTAAGGGAAACTAGAAATCCTAATGTCAATATAAGAATTTTCAATATTGCAAATTCATATACATATACGTCGCTACATTACTTCTATAAGTACATCTTCATAGTAATATACAGAGTAGATTATTTATAAGCAAATTATACGTACGTATAGAACTTTACAGATTTAATAGTGTTGTATAGAGACATATATATATATTTAACTATCTGTTTTGTTGAACTGTTATGTAGATTCACTTATCATACTATGTCGAATACTTTAACTGTTCTGAATCATCCGAGATATTTACACGAGAGCACTAACGTTTTTCATATAAAATTTTCATAAGTCCACACTTCTAAAAATTATAACGTTTCAAACTATTCACTCAAATTTATTAGCAACGATCTTTATTTAATGGACGCTCTTTACTTGACCATAACGTACAACGCGAGTCTGCCATTTATAATTCATTATTATACGTGGCCATCGTCATATCGATACGACGACGAATTATACTATCGAATGAATCAATATCCTAACAAATACATGATTGGATCTTCTTCAAATTAGTTTATTAATAGCATGTTACGATTAACCAAAGTGTTGACACAGTGTGTTTACTGAGACTTATAATCTTTATACGAAGGTAACATTTTTACGCGAATCGAGTCCGTAAAATTTGTAATAAAATTTATAATTGTGTTTAATAAAAAAAAGAAAAAAAAAAGAAAAAAAAATAATAATAAAAAAATACGACATGTAAGAATTTTTACACGAACTGCAACGACTGGCCGGATTTACCGGCACCGTGAGAATTTTTCTTATATTTATACGAATTCGTCAGTGATCGTAATTATACGCGAAGTACCCTAAAATAGTTTTCTACGAGACGAAACACAAAAGAATACAGTATGTGTTTTAGCGAGAGATGTTAGCGATAACACGTTTTTCCGCAACCGCATTGGCTGTACGCCAGGTGCTTGAGACTCAGTTATCCGAGGATCATCGAGAGCTCATTAAGTGTAAATTCAAATGTACAAGCTGTTACTTAGTTAAGTACACATATTCTTTCGAACTGTTTTATGAGTCTCGTTAATTATCCAATAAAAGGGAAAATACAGAACACTCCCATTAATGTTCAACGTTACGTCCCAATCTACCTATATGTATAGTAACATCACGTCATCTTTCCTCCAAAAGCATACATCGGTTTATGTATATTTCTACGGCGTGATTATAATACCTAATGGCATTTAAACGGCGCGATAGATCAGCGCAACAGAGTTAAAGAAGTAGATGAAACTCTTTAATAATCTACGCTGCATTAATTTCGGTTAAAGAACAATTCTGTACAATGATGAAATAGATAAACAGACATGTTTCCAGAAGATATTAAAAAATCAATAAGTCAGTTCTGTAATTATATTTTTTTCATTTCTTTTTTGTAGAATATCCGATTCATTTTTCGATTATTTTATGACTCTACGAGTGAGAGAGATCTTTTACGAGAAGCTGTCGTGACCGGCGAAACACTTTCGTGAGTGAAATCGTGAAAAATGACTTTTACAACATTTTTGGACATGTCCGTTCTCCTCTTTTCTGTCTCCATCTTATACGATCCTGATGAGACTATTCACGGGACTCTTTTATGCGCATGCGTTCATTGACGTTTACAAGTAGGTAAGCATTGTAGAACCTACTGGCTGGTCATTTATACATTTCTCGCTAAACCTTCGAACGGTACGCATCTGTGGATTGTGTGCGGAATTATTAGGAAATATTAGATTTCCTTCTCACTGAGATTCCAATGAGCAACGATATTATCATTCATCCGTATCGGAATTTCGTTCCTCTCGTTTAAACTGAATTATTTTGCAGCATGGAAATGCATATTACTAAACTGTACAGTAGTACGGTAACACATGTTCAAAGTAAAATTATACGTATGACTACAGTCCAATAAAGTGGGGTTCAATGATACGCAGTGCGAGCAAAACCATTTTCTTCGAAACAATTCACGATAGCCCGTTACGAAATCTCCATTTAAACTCTAGTGAAAACTTAATTACGAACTGAATATGTCAATAACTATAATCGGCTTTTACTCCAAGTTCGCACAACGGTTGAGCATATGTTATTTGTACGATCTTAGAAATAGAATTGGGCGTTATTCGTTATTCGAATAATAAAGACAAACGAATAAATATTTATTCGTCATATAAATAAAAATGTGCGTGCTTGCGGTGTGCATATAGATGAAAGATTTTATGTGATTATTTGTGCGCTGTCCCTACTTTATGAGATTTCTTGTGGTATTTATTGAATTCTTACGTGTAACGTAGTTTTATGCGATTAGATTATACTTTCCATAGATATCCACATATTCTGTTATTCTAATAATTTTTCTTACTAAATACAAGCTTCTCATGAATTATTTACAAAGTATGTAATGTATGAAATACGTTCATTTTAAATATTCCTTTTTCATATTGCTGTGATTCTTTTCGAGTTGATCATTGAATATTATCATACGTACAGAACAAATATCGCGTATTATTCATAGTATT